TGAGATTCCCTTACTAACAATTCTCTTAAGGAACAGTTAGGCACACATAATCGATTTTCTCTAAACAAGTACCCTTCATGCCTATAAAACTTATCAAAAGCAATCTTCTCACATGCATTAAACAAGTTAGCAAAATCTAGATCATTAGCATATAATTCTTTAATGTGCTCAAAACCTAATAACTTTGCACTTAGGGTAGAGATAAGTGTGTACGTACGAGATAATGCATCAGCCACAATGTTTTCCTTTCCTTGCTTATACTTGATCACATAGGGAAACGTCTCAAGGAATTTCACCCACTCAGCATGTCGTCTATTCAACTTACCTTGTCCCTTCAGGTGCTTCAACGACTCATGATCAGTATGTATCACGAACTCCTTAGGCCAAAGATAATGCTGCCATGTCTCTAAAGCTCTTACCAATGCATACATCTCCTTGTCATAAGTAGGATAGTTAAGTGCTGCGCCAGTCAATTTTCCACTGAAAAATGCAATAGGTCGCCGCTCTTGCATCAAAATAGCACCAATGCCAATACTTGATGCATCACATTCAATTTCAAAAGTTTTAGTAAAATTAGGTAAAGCAAGTAATGGTGCAGAAATTACATTTTCCTTAATTAAATTGAAAGCATTCTCCTGTTCACTTTCCCACTTAAATCCAACACTTTTTTTCACAATTTCAGTCAACGGTGCTGCAATTGTGCTGAAATCCTTGATGAATCTCCGGTAGAAACTCACCAAACCCTGAAAACTCCACACCTCAGAAATATTTTTAGGTGTCGGCCATTCTTTAATAGCCTTAACCTTTTCTTCATCTACTGTGATTCCATCAGCTGAAACAACATACCCTAAAAAAACAATCTGATTTGTGCAAAAGGAACACTTTTTAAGGTTAGCAAACAACTTTTCTGTTCTCAACACCTCTAGTACCATTCGCACATGCTCAATATGTTCAATTAAATTCTTGCTGTATATCAGAATGTCATCAAAATAAACAACCACAAATTTGTAAATGAAAGCACGCAAAACATGAGTCATTAATCACATGAATGTACTAGGTGCATTAGTTAATCCAAATGGCATAACTAACCACTCATATAAACCATGTTTCGTTTTAAAGGCTGTTTTCCATTCATCTCCTTCCTTCATCCTAATCTGATGATATCCACTGTTTAAATTAATTTTAGAGAATATGCAAGAACCATGCAACTCATCTAACATATCATCTAATCTAGGAATAGGGTGACGATACTTTACAGTGATTTTGTTGAGCGCGCGA